TTCTCTTTCCAATTCCTCATCCACATATTTTTCTCTTCATTCTCCACCATACAAAATATATACATACACTTAATACACACACATGCACACACATATAACTCAATTAGTATTTATACCCAATTGAATATTTAAGGTTAATATGAGATATTACAATTTTTCTTCCTGATTTATTTACTTATAATATATTAGTTTATTTCTAGTTAATCTATTATATCATACACGTTTTTTTTTCTTTTAAATTTTGGATTTTTTATAATTTATGATATTTTTTAAACAAATGCGCGTAACACTTCGAGACTCGTGCAAACGTAGAGATATTCCACTAGTTAAAAAACGATAGGAGTAGCCAAAGCACAATTGTAATATTGAAGTTTAAAACTATTATCTTCTTTTTAAAATGAGTGTTATTTTAACGAATAAAATTTATTTTAAAATAATATTAATTTCATTTTTAATAAAGAAATTTGTACTAATATTTAATTTCCTATTTTATTATTTTTATCAACAATGTTTTCAAAAATGCATTCTCTTTGTTTGTTTGTTTCACGTTTTAAAAAGTGGATTTTTTTTCTTTATATTTTCAAAAATAGATTTTATAAAATTGTTTTTAAAAATATTATAAGTTTTTTTTTATATATTCGTTTTTTTTAAATTATAAGATCAATTTTGAAATTCTATAACATATATACATTATTGAACATTAAAAGATAGTCAAAATTGTAATTTTTTAAAAAAAGTTGTATCTCAAAAATAATTTTTATATAATTCTATTTGAAATAGCTTCAAAATTAAGTGATTTTTTAAAATTTCAATATTCTAAAAAATTTTAATAAAATGATAAAAAATTTAAAATAGCATTTCAAAAATAATTATCCAAAGAAAATTTGTATTTAATACTTTTATAAAAAAAATTTAAATTTTTTAAAAAAAATTCAAAACAAACGCATCTTATATTTTCTAATTTTTGTGTAAAATTTTAAAAAAATAGTCATTTAAAATCAAAAGTATAAGGAGAAGGAAGGGTGTAAGGAAGTCTATGTTTGAAAAAACTAGCTTATAGCTGATAGCTGGTAGCTTATAGTTGATGACTGATAGTTGATAAGTTAATTTGAGTGTTTGGTAAGTTAACTGTTAAGCTAGTTGATAATTATAAAATGACCTAAAAAGATATTTTTAATTAAGAAGTTTGTGATTTCATCATCTTATTATATTATATTATTACATTAAATTTTATTCGATAAAAGTAAATATATTAATAACAACATGCAAAACAATTTTAATATATATGAAAAATTGAAGATTTCATCAAAATATATAAATTTGCATATAAGTTTTATGAGTTTTGCTATTTAGTATAAATATATTGACAACGAAGTTCAATTAATAAAAAAACCAGTAAACCATACATGAAGCAGAAGTATTTTATAAAGTCATTTATTAGGACATAAAAATAAAAGTAATTCTAATAACTACAATTTTTAATCTGGTTAACTCATTCTTTCGTAAAATATAATTTTTGTTCTAATTTTATAATGAAATTTAATAAAATACGTGAAATAATAACATTGTAATTTTGAATTTAGTTATATTAATCTAAAATAATAACAAAAATAAATTTATTGTCTAATATTTTACAATAAAACTGTAATAAAATAGAGAAAAATAGTAAAAATCTTCTATAACATTTTTCAAAATCTCTTTAAATTCAATTTTTTAAAATTAATTTTTTAATGTAAATATTATATATATATATATATATATATATATATATATATATATATATATATATATATATATATATATATATATATATATATATATATATATATATATATATAATAAGAATAAGGATATGATTGAAATAAAAAATTATAACCTAAAAAGTAAAAGCTCAAAAACTGTTTATAAAAAAAAACTAAAAATAGTTTAAAAAATTTATAAATTAAAAGACAATTATCAAATAAATTTTTTTAACTAAAATAAACTTAAAAACTAAAAATTTAAAATTAAAATTTTAATTTTAATTTTACCAAACAGATTGGAAGTAGCGAAAGCAACATGACATTGTGTAAGGGTTTTTAAACTCCCAATGCCGAGGTCCGAACATATCTGTCCTTTTTCCTCGTCTCCCTTTCTCTATAGATTTTCTCTTTCCATAGATATAATATTTTTCGATATCGCTAAAAGGTTAATAATAAACCAAAAACAATAAATAAAGCAGAAAAAAAAACCCAGCCTTAAACCCAAGTGTCTCTTTTTCTCTTTCAGGAGGCGACAACGACTCTCACAGCACAAACAAACCACAAACAAACTTTCATACCGATCGAACGCCAAAAACTCTCTTTCAACATATTACTCAAATTCACCTCACGAAATTTCGTAAGAAACTCATTTTAAGCTCAAAATCTATTTTTTTTTATTGATGACTTTCATTCTTTCGTTTATTCTCAATGTTTATTGGTTGGTGATTATGATTCTGCAAAAGTCGGTGGACACAGAATCATAACTTTTCCGGTTTTCGTGATGCTCTTTTCAAGGTTCCAAACTAATAAAATCGGTGTTTTTTTAACGCGTTTTCTTCTTCTTCTTCTTCTGTTTTTATAAAGAAAAAGAAGAAGCTATTTTCATTTTTATCTTATTTTGATATTTTCCCCTTTGTTATGCAGGCTATTTCTTGTTGTTTCATTAGGTATACGTTTCTTCTTATGAGAACTTAATCGTCTGCGTTCATTCCTGATTTCTTGGAGATTTTTTTTGAGGTATATTAAATTTCCATGATTGATACTTCAAGTTAATGTTATTTGTTTTGATGGATGAATTATTGTGATATGAATATACAAAAATAAATTAATATGATTTGTTTTTGCAGTTATGTTTCATGTTTATGTTGATTTGTTGCTGTTGTTTTCTAAACTTATGTACAGAATAATTATTATACTCTCGGTAGCGCCGACATTTCTGAAAAAGGTGTGCACATGTGTGTACAACATCGACACCACACTTTTGATTACGTTTCATTTATTATTTTTTCAAATTATTACTAGCGTCGATGTGTTAGTACCAAGTATCGGTGTTGTGTTTTCGGTGTCCGTGCTTCAAATGGAAGGAGTACATGTTATTTGTATTATTATAGGAATACCTAATAGGTTGGTATTTTTGGAAGAAATAAGGAATTGGGTTATTGTTTTTGAGGACCCATGGTCTTGTATTGTGCTTTCTTAAGGTAGCATGTCCTGTGTTTGGTTGATTTTGAAAAAATTAATATTGATTTTTTTATTACTGTCAAAATCTGTGTCTATCTTTTTTCTGTTAGAAGTTTCCATCAATACGAAGGATTCGTGTCCGATTTGAACACAATCCTTTGCAATTGGCAATGATGCACGGACACAATACGAGTATGATCACAACCACACTTCTTTTCCTTATCCTAGGACATACAGCATGGAAGTCGTACAGTTACTAGATTGAAATTGGTGTATAGGAAAAGCGGTGTGAAAAAATCAACACCCTTGTTTGAAAGATGAATGTGTCTTCTTTGTAAGTATGTCATCTCAGGGTCTTTTTTGTTTCTTTTAATTAAGTGCTCCGCTCAAGGTCTCTGATTTGAATCCCACTTGGTGCTAACAATCCTTGTGTTGGCCGGTCCATACAAAGCTTTGCTCTGCCTTTAAAAGGGTCCCCCGCTAGTGGACGGTGAGATCGGTTCCCTTGAATCAGTCGATCTCAAGATCAGATACAAAGTTTTAAAAAAAAAAAACTAGTGATGTGATGGGATGCCTCATAGGGGAGAGCAGGGGGTTGATACATTTTCTCATTGGTATGATGGTGAAATTAAAATATCTTTGTGGGTCCTGTGTAATGATCCCACTTTGATGAGTCCTGTTGCAGACACATATAGGCTCCTGCTAGGCCAGATCATTTACATATTGAATTTAATATAAAGGACGAGCTCAGGGAATCCTAAGGATCATGAATCACACAAATGTATATATGTACATACATAATGCGAATGACTGTGTACCCATCTATATATAACAAAAATGAACACACACTACTTTACTGATAATCCAACTTGGAGTCGAGATTCTACACATTCACGCATTTGGGATATCGATGGTCGTCCAATAAGATCAGACTGTTCTAATTCAAACTCGATGTTTTAAATTATAAAATAAAAATTAAAACCTGCATTAGATTGCCTGGTCAAAAGATTGGACGGTCGATATAGATGTCCTGAATGCGTGAATGCCACATGTTCATATGATGGTAGTGTATCAAATATTACAAAAGGTAGTGTATCAAATATTACAAAAGGTAGTTTCGTTGAATTTAGTTATGGATTATACTATTCCTTTAAGGTTATGGATTCCCCTTTGAAATGAAATGAAAAGTAAATGATACTTTTGCTGCTCCGTAATCCTTCTTGTTTTGCCTAAACAACACAAACTAATTAAGTTGACCACTTTACAAGTAAGTAATGATTACTTTAAATGGTGGGCCAGTTCTCTTTTTTGAAACAAAGCCTGAAAAATTTGTATAACCGCAATAAAGTATGTAGAAATAAGAACCTTGTTTTTCTTAGCTTGAAGTTGATGTTAAATTTGACCTTGAAGCTTTGCTTTTCACTGTATAAAACTTTCATTTTGTATTATATTGCACACTTTTTAATTAATGCATCTTTTGATCGTGCTCTTTTGTATTCTTTTGCACTCTTTAGCACCTTTTGTCTTCTAAACATGCTTGTTTAGATGACTTTTGAGGTTTTCATTATTGGTCAAGCCATAAACATGTTAGATGAAAAACAAAAAGAAACCTCAACCTATATTAAAAGCCTTGATCAAAGCGTTAAAGTGTATTATTGTTATTTTTTTTTATCTTTTGCTGGGAAAATTCATCATGATCACCATCTTTTGATTGCTTTATTGCCCTTGTTATTCTTTTTATACACTTTAGAGTTACATTTAAACTGTTCTCATTCTTTGTTATATATTTTTTTGTAGATGGAATCTGTTAAGCCTTCAGCAGTGACGCCACGCAAGAGTAAATTGTCTCGAACTGTTTCAAAGGTTCTTTGTGTAAAATCAATGTCTGGAATTGCACAAGTTGAGGGACTGCAGAATGTTAAAGCTGACGAAGGAAATATGACACATAGTGAAGAAGATGAAGAGCTTGAGAAAAAACTGGTCGTGGAAGCTTTGGTTTCGAGAGTTTTTGCTAGCATTTCGGCTATAAAAGCTTCATATGCTCAGCTACAATATGCTCAATCGCCTTATGACCCTGATGGAATTCAAGATGCTGATAAACTATTAGTATTGGAATTGAAAACCTTATCTGAACTAAGGCAGTGTTGGTTCAAAAAACAGTTTCATTTTGATCCTTCGCCAGAGGAGGCAATTGTTGTAGCCGAATCGAAAGAGCTTAAGAGTGTTATAAAAACCTATAAGATAATGGGGAAGAAGTTTGAATCACAAACACGGCTTAAAGACTCTGAGATTATGTTTCTTAAAGAGAAGTTAGAGGAAGCAAATAAACAAAACAAGTCAATTGAAAAGAGGTTAAATCAAAGTGGTTCGTTATCCTCTCTTGATAATCTTCACATCTCAGGACTAAGTCCTACACATTTTATATCCGTTCTTCGCCACACGGTTAAATCAACCCGAAGCTTTGTGAAGTTGTTGGTGAATGAAATGAGATCCGCCGGTTGGGATATTGATGCATCGGTGAATGCCATTATCAGAGAGAATGTTGTTTATTTGAAAGAAAATCACAAATGTTTCGCAATTGAGTCTTTTGTTTGTAGGGAAATGTTCGATTCTTTCAACTTCCCTAATTTCAATCTTCGTCCTACCGAGTTTCTTCCCGATAGAAACAAAACACAGTTTTTCTTTTCGAATTTCAACGAGTTAAAATCCGTGAAAGCAAAAGAGTTTCTCGGTTCAAAACCAAAATCAGCTTTTGCAAAATTTTGCAGGGCGAAATACTTAAGAGTAGTTCACCCTCAAATGGAGGCATCATTTTTCGGTGACACGAAGCTGAGAATCAACACGGTGAACGGCGGAGAATTCCCCGATGACAACCACTTGTTCACATCGTTTGCTGAAATGGCTAAGAGGGTATGGCTTTTACATTGCTTATCCTTTTCTTTTGAACCTCAAGCTGAAATCTTTCAAGTAGGGAAAGGATGTAGATTCTCTGATGTTTACATGGAGAGTGTTGTGAATGATGAAGAAGTAGCAATAGCAGTGGAATGTGAGCCACAAGTTGGTTTCACTGTGGTTCCAGGTTTTAAGATAGGTAAAACTGTTATACAGTGCCAAGTTTACCTCTCACAGGTATTACAGCAAAAAGCTCAAGTTAAAAAAAGTGTTAGTTCCATGAAGCAAAGGTAGCAGGAGCGTCTGTGATGTGGGGACTGGTGTGGTATGGTTGTTCATTTTCTTTTCAGAATGTTTTTATTTATTTATTTAATGAAAGGATATGACCTAAAGTTTTGGTGATATTAGGCTAGTGGCGGGGATTGTTAAACTGTTATGGTATCTTTTACATGATATTAACTCGTGGATACCCTGCGGTCGCACATCTACTGTTGTGTAAAACGTTTTTGTTTTTAAAATATAATAAGAATAAAAATAAAACAAAATTGCTTTATCAAATGCTTTATTATTTTTAAAAGAAAAATATATTTTGATTTATATATGGATTATAAATATAATTTTTATGTATGTTTTGAAATTATTTATAAAAATATTTGGATAAAAAAACTTTTTTCCATTTAAAAAAAATTAAGATTCAATAATTAATTTAAACAATATATATATATATATATATATATATATATATATATATATATATATATATATATATATATATATATATATATATATATATATTAGTAACATTAAACAAAATAAATATATTTACTTAAATATATATGTAAGTGAAATTATTAAAATAATGTTACTAATATTAGCCACATTATTTTAAAAAAACACGCAGGCACACACTATTTTAAATATATTTACTGTTATTTTTTTAAATTATACAAAAAAATGTAATAACTTGTGCATTCGCATGGATTCTGCTTTGAATATCCGAACATGCGTATATGTATTGAAGTGTTATGTGCATTTGTTTTTAAAATATTATAATAATAATAATAATAATAATAATAATAATAATAATAATAATAATAATAATAATAATAATAATGTAATTAAAATATAATAATAATAATAATAATAATAGTAATGTAAAAAAGAAAAACAAATTTGTTTTATTAAACGAGTTTATTATTTTTAAAAGAAAGACATGTTTTAATTTATATACCGATCATAAATACAATTTTATATACAAATATTTGAACAAACATTATATTTTTCTGTAAGTAAATATTTTTTTTTTTTTGATATTATTTATAAAAGTATTTATGCAATTATTTACTTTTATAAATTTTAACTAATAATATAATATTTATAAATATTATTTTAATTGTATAAATAAATATTAGTAACATAAATAAATATATTTTGTCTGTGTTTGAATTTATACATGATTTTAAATATATTTACGTTTATTTTTTTTAATTATACAAAAATTAAAATAACCCGTACATTTGTACGGATTCTGGTTTAAATACCCGTGCTTTTATGCAGAGATTGATGTATTACACATACACATATTTATTTTTAAAATGTAATAAAAATAGAAAAAATAGAAAAAAAATTATTTAATCAATAAAGTTTATTATTTAAAAAAGTATTTTTTTTTATATTTGGAGCATTAATATAGTTTTTTTTTCATATATACAAATATTTGAATTTATCATATATAAATATTAATTTTGTTTTAAAATTGTTTATAAAATATTGATACAATCATTTAACTTTTTAAATATTAAATAATAACATAGTATTTATAAATATTATTTTAATTGTAAGTCAATGTAACGATAAATTAAATTATAAACTATCATTTTAAAAGCAAGTATTTTTTTATATATATTATTTTAATTATAAAAGCAAGAATTTTGGAAACTATTTAGTAAAAATTATTTGTCATAAAATTGTTTATTTAAATAAAAATGTTGGCTAAGTCAATTATCTAAAAAATTATTAGCCTTGAAATTATTAATACCGAAATTATTAAAATAACTATTATAACAGTGAATAATAAAAATTTGAATGACAATAGATGAATCAAATTAACTGAAATTTATTAGCTACCATAAAATAATAGAATGAAAAGTTATATAACGGTATAATGAAAAGTTATCCCTAGATTTGTTATTCACAAAATTGAAGCTACATGTAGATCATTCATGTGGACAAGTGGAATTGATATTAAGATCTGGAATAAAATTACTATGGTTAAACTGCTCTGGAACCTTAGTAGTAAAACTGATAACTTGTGGGTAAAATGGGTCCATAGTTATTATTTAAAGCATAAGGAGCGGATGAATGTCAGTATCAAACCCCACACCTCATGGATTATGAGGACCATCCTAAAATAGAGGGACAACTTGGTGGATATTCAACAGGTATGAGATCGCATGTTAACTAGCAACAAGTTTAGGATGAATGACGTTTATATGATAATATGTAGTAATGCCCCAAAAGTAATGTGGAAGAACATACTCTGAATTAATGCTGCTCGACCAAGGGCTCTGATTACTATGTGGCTTGCGTGTCATGGAAGATTGGCTACAAAACAACGCCTTTTTCGTTTTGGTATGATTACCGATGATAAATGTTGTCTATATTCTAAAGAGGAGGAAACTATTAATCATATATTATTTTGTTGTCCTGGAACGGTGTGTATTTGGACCAAAAGATATGGAATGGTTGTGCAGGAGTACGAACGGTAAGGGTTGGAGAGCATCCATCCTTAAACTAGCTATAACGAAAACTGTTTATGGTGTGTGGAAATACGTAATGACATTTGTTACGGTAATGTTATAGATAAGACAAAAATATGTGATAATATTATAGATATGATTGTTTATAGGGGGTGGCATAACCAGAAACTTAGGCTACACATTGCTCATTTGATGACTTATTAGTGTTCTTGGTACCTTTCTTTTGGTCTATGTGTCTTTTCTGAGGGCAAGATCCTCGCGATCGCCTTGTATTTCTACTGTTTTTTGAATTAATTCAATCTTCCTTTGATTCAAAAAAAGAAAAGTAATGGAAAGATTTGATATTATCATAATTTATTAACTATTAAAACAAACTTTATCAATTATTATCATCAATTCAAAAATATGGTATAAAAAATAATGGAAAGATTTGAATTTAACTAATTAAAATATTCAAAATTGATAACATACAATCAAATCATTAATATTAAAAAACATTTTGATTTTTATTAATAAATAAAACATACATATAATTGAATTTTTTTGTTAGAAAATATTGAAAGCGATGAGTTTGAATATTTATAATGGTGTGAAATATGCCAAAACAACGCGTAGAATCTCTTGAATGCTAATTTTAGTTGAGTCTAGCCATCGTTGAAATATGCCATAAACAACAAGTAGAATCTCTTGAACATTTATAATGGTTTAAAATATGCCAAAACTTATATTTGTTGTTGCAACTTAAATTCAATTTGCTATCATGTACAATGTCAAAACTTTAAACCTATAAATAGTGGTGTATGCAAATGGTTTTATACTTCTGTAACATCTATAACAGGTTTCCTCATGCTAGAGCTTTCTGGGTCTGAATGTGTGTATTATGTATTTCAAGCCAAACGATTTGACATCAAACTTTCAAGCGTCTAACCATAAACCTTAAATTTGCATGTCAACCTGCCCAAAAAACTTTGCTACACATAAAAACCAAGGACCACCACTAACTCAAGTTAAAAATATCAATCTTCATGCAGTATTTCCGTTTTCCATTTTCATCATCATATTATTTGAGCAGCTTAAATAATTAAACAGAAGCACAAACACATGACTATCTTATAGGGTAATGAGAACTCATTTTGTATTGTAGGGAAGAAAAAATAAATTGGAGGAACAAGGACCTAACTTTGATTTTTCACTTCCCTTTTCCTCACCATACCGAGTAGCTAAAGAGATTGGTATGATTTCTAGGATTCTACCTGTTAAAATAACACAACACAACACAACACTTACAATAACTATAATACACTATTCATAAAACAAAACACTTACTTCAAAGGCCGAAACCGAGTCGTCACAGTAACATTCTCTTTAGTTTTTTTAGCCTCCAAAGGCACAATTTCTATGGACCTTAATCATAGACATAAGAATTTGTATGCGTAGATGTTGTGTCCTCCTTAAACGTTTTACCTAAGAGAATTCTTACAAAGCTGGCTTACAAAGAGACTGAGATGAGACCTACTTCTTTAATAGTCAAGGCTTTTGATGGTTCCCGCAGAACTGTAATTGGAGAAGTGGAGCTACCGATCTTAATTGGTTCTCATGTATTCGACATCACGTTCCAAGTACTGGATATAAACCCTACTTATAGTTGTTTACTTGGAAGGTCGTGGATCCACACTGCTGGTGCTATAACTTCAACATTACATCAGAAGATAAAATTTATGATTGATGATAAGTTGGTAATTGTGCATGGTGAAGAGGACTTAATGGTAAGAAACTTGTCTTCATTCCGTTATATAGAGGTTGGCGAAGATGCTTTGGAAACTTCTTTCCAAGCACTCGAGATAGCCAATGTTGTCCTATTGGAAGTTGAAGAAACGGTGGGCAAGAGTAATTCATCTTTCGCATCTTTCAAGAGTACCAGATAAACAATTGAACGAGGTGTACTCGAAGGTTGAGGAGAAGTGATAAATATCAAGACAAAGATGGATCGCCATGGGTTAGGTTACAAACCAACTAAAGATGGAGCATCGACATCTGCCAAAGGTCGTACGAAGACTATCCAAGAAGTGTTCGTTAGTGGAGGTTTTCAAATCAATATTGTTGAAGATGATATGAAGGACGAAGACTTGAGAAATCTGGTATTCAAGTGTGATGCAGCTTTGGACAACTGGGAAGCAGTAGAGATCCTAATGATTTTTCCTTCGTCAAAGTAATTTATTTGTCTTTTGTTTGTTTTCAAAAAATAAAATTCCATAGTTATGCCCAAAGCTATTGGATTATTTTGTAGGGCCACCTTTTTACTTTCAAATGATTATCAATAAATGCATTTTGTTAAATTCTCGTTGTTTCATTTACTGTTTTTCACTTTTACCTTTAAAAGAAATTGGCAATCTTTCAAAACTAAAAATTTAAAATAAAAAAAAAAGAGCATTTTTCTCTTGCATTCTTCTTTGTGCCTTTAATAAAATAAATCATTATAAACATGCAGAATAATCCCAAACCATGTTGAATTCGACGACCCTGCTTTCACTCCAA